AGGGCTTTGGGGCTATCGGACCACAATGGCTGGCGATGCCAGCCAAAAAAAAAAAAAAAAAAAAAGAAACGGCGCTGGTGGTCTACAAAGCTTGGCGCGAGTGTTTGATGATTGTCTGTTGTGGCGTTCGCTTGGGTAAAGCTTTGATGGCAGGAGGTCAATCCTTCCCTGTCGCTGGGAAGTAATCAATGCCTCTGCTATTTAGAGTAACATGGCAGATACGGTGGAATACGGATCTGGCTTCGCATGACACAAACAGACTGAATGAACACAATAACATAGTATTGGACGCACACTAATGACATCTGCACAAATCATTGAACAGGGATGCTGGACCCGCAAATGAACACAATAACATAGTATTGGATGCACACTAATGACATCTCCACAAATCATTGAATAGGGACGCTGAACCCGATTTCCAGCTGACGCTCATCATATCATTGTATTGGGACGCTGGACCCGAGATCCTGCAGGTGCTGCTCCCCACCAATAGATGGAGCCTTCAATGCTGGGGACCACTTAACGAGGCTGCTCTTATCACCTCGTTAAGTGGGTTTCCCCAAACATGAAGTTCAAAAAAAAAAAAAGGAAAAGAAAAGGAAAAAAAAAAGCTTGACGCGCAGGGCGTCAGGAGTTCCGGAAGACAGTGGGCCGGAAGTACTGGTTGTTTAAAAGGAAAGACTCCGAAAGAGATTAAAAAAAAGGAGTTGCGCAGTCGCCATACCAGCTGCCCACTTTAGCACGCAAAGAAAGATTTGGTAGCTGTCAGAAGTATGAGTCTGAGAGGTTTCTGGAACCGCTTTCACCCCGGCCTGCAAGAGAACCACTTTCGGGAGACCTTCGAGGCGTTGCCGCACACGACCGTCAAAACTCACTTCCCGACAGTTTCAAAACGCCGCACGACCCATTCAAAAAGAGGGCTGTCACAAACATTTGACAGCCACAGGACAAGTTTGGATAGCAATCGGCCAAGCATTCACAAAAATAGGCCCAAATCCTGGATTTTTTACCTATCCTCTGTTGGGAACCCGTACAAGAAGGGGGGGGAGGGG